CCATTGTGCAGCCATCAGTACAATACAGACTGAAAACATCCCCATCATTCCCCAAGAGTTTTCTCTTAAAGGTTTTCAGTCAATCCCTGCTCCCATCCAGACCCAGGTAACTACTGATATACTTTCTGTTTCTTAAAAATTTCATATAAATAGAATCATACAATATGCAGCCTTTTGTGTCTGACTTCTTTCATTTAGTATAATGATTTCGAGGTTTACTCACATTGTAGCATATATCAATAGTTTGTTCCTTTTTATTGCTGAGGAGAATTCCATTGTATTGATATACTACAGTTTATGTGCACAGGACCGGGCAACATTTTGTTCTGTTGTGCATAAGGTCGCGATGAGTTGGAGCTGACTCATTAGTAACTAACAACAACAGCATGCATTTACCTGTTAATGGAAATTTGAGTTGTTTCCAGTTTGGGGCTAATACAAATAAAAAAATCCGTCACCATCAAGTTGATTCTGACTCATAGTGATGCTACAGGACAGAGTAAAACTGCCCCATAAGGTTTCCAAGGAGCGGCTAGTGGATTCGAACCGCTGACCTTTTGGTTAGCAGCCAAGCTCTTAAATTACAAATAAAGTTGCTATGAATATTCATGTACAAGTCTTTGTATGGACATATACTTTGACATAGAATAGCTGGATTATATGGTAGGTGTATGTGTAATGTTTTTAAGAAAACTATAGATTAATTTTAACTTCCTAGAATTTTATATAAATGGAATTATGAATTTTTTTTTGATCTGGCTTCTTTCACTCAGTATCATTGTTTTGAGATTCATTCATGTTGTAGTGTATCAGTTCTTCATTCATTCTTTTGTATGGCTGAATAATATGCCATTGCATGGATATATCACATTTTGTTTATCCATTCACCTACTAATGGACATTTAAACTATTTACAGTTTTGAACTATTAAAAGTAAAGCTGCTTTGAACATTCACTTAGAAGCCTTTGTATGAATATATGTTTTGTTGACTGTCTAGACTTAAGAAAGTGATAGAGAAAATGTTAATAATGCAGAATAAAACTAAAAATGATTCATGTCTATAGCCATTACCTTGTGGATAGCATAAAAACTGAGAAAATAATCTTCCAGTATTCAAAAACATTATCCAATTCAGCAAAGTTGCTCACATAATTGAGGAGTGAGTAGAGTTCTGATATTTGTCTTTTGTTTCACTTTCATCTTGTTATTAATATAAATGAAAATATCAACTAACATTCATATTGGAACTACACTTGTTTGTTGTTTGCAAACATAGGTTGACAACAGATAAAAATTTCAGCAAAAATCAATGAAAGCATTTTATGAAAATCAATTGGCTATAAGGAATTTACAATAATGAATATTGTATATTTTATATTTTATTATTATTTGTAAACTGTGTGGTGCACATCTTTTATATCAGTACAATTTATAATAAACTTACATATGTAGTTATATGCATATTTTTTCCAGAAGGCTGATTGTTAAATATTTATCAACACACCACTGATGTATATCTTCTTTATTTAGAAACGGAAGGAATTATAAGATGTGGATCCTATCCATCTCCAACTCCCACTCCCTTCCTAACCCCACTCTGACACATACGCACTTGTGTACATAGGCACACAAACCCCACTACCATTATACCATCACAACTGCCACTACACTTTGGTTTTGTTAACTCATAATCTGATTTTGAAAAGTTTAGTCTTTGACACCCAAGAAAACCCAATGTGATGTAGATGTCTGAGCTCTCCTCAGAGACTCTCCTCTTGAACACATTGATAATCTGAGTTTATCCATTTCAGGACAAGTGCCCAGGAAATGTATTGTTATAAAGATTTGAGCCCATTGAGATTTCTAGATTTTTAAGGTCTCTAAGCAAACTTCTCCAATGCAGATGCCCACAGAGCTCTATGAGAAAGGGAATTGAGGGAATGCTAGGACAATGGAGATCCAATTCACTCCATGTATGCCACTTTCCAGCAAACCTCATTTACCTCATTACCTAGCAGTAACTTTCTTTTTATTTTAGTAGTCTTCAGCCTACACTGCTATCCCTTTTAGATGCAAATATGAGTTGGCCATCCCTATTAGTAAGGCACACAGTAACACAGGAATGACTTTGAAAATGTCTGGAGGCAAAGCAATACAGTAGGACACAGATGCAAATGGTAGATAAGAGTTTACACATAAGCCAAACTTTAGAAATGCCTGGAGAGATTCTGTTTCAGGTTATTTGCCCAATCAATGCAGAGATCCCGCCCACACCTTCTGGAAGAGGAGATGCCCACTCCCTGGCACACATTGAGCCTCACTATCTGGATCAAGAGCTGATCATTCTGGGACTCTCAGAGTATTGCGTATGATGGTTGGCCGGTTTTCCTGTTTCTACCGCTGACAAAAGGCTTCAGGATATTTATTCAGCATTTGTATAAACTAGACCACCGAAATATCCCTGTCTCTTGCATTTATTTAGCAAGAATGTGTCTGATGGGAGAGTAAAAAAATTCCCAGGAGAAATTGCTGCAATAGTCAGTACCCAGTGTGGAGTGCCAAGGAAAGGCAGATGCTGTCATTTTTCATAGACCGCCTTGAGGAGGACCCTTTTTGTACATTGCTATAATTGTCTTTTTCCATTAAAATTAAACCAGGCCTATGGACCCACATGGTAGGAATCACTAAAAGGTATTTTATTTGATATATTCCTTCAACATAGCCCAAAGGAATGGAATGACAACCAGAATTTCTATATATAAATGTGTATACTTGTGGTTGCAGCAACTGGAATTCCTTATATCTATTACAATCTCTGGATTTTCTACCATGTGGTTTGACGTTCCTCAATACCTTGAACTTCATGGGAATGAAGACATAGAAAGGCATAGAAAAGACCCTGTGTTCAGAGTTAGAGAAACCAGGGCCTGCTTGGGATTAGAAGAGTCAGGGCCTCCAAATCACACCTATTTTAGAATCCAGAAAAAAAAATACACAACATTGATAAGACAAGGATAATTGCCCCATAGGAACTCATAAATAAGAGAACAGCGTGAGGTTGACGGGGCCAAAATGTACATAGGTCTATCTCTGTATCCACATCAGATTATGCCTCAAATTTGACTTCTACCTGCATGACCAAGCCTCAGAAGGAAAACAACACTATGCTAAATTTGGATGTGGCTCTTGAGTTCACCAAACACTTTAGCATATATTGTCTTATCTGAGGCTTCCAAGTATTATTATTATTATCCTCATTACCTATATGAGAAATCAGTTTCCAAAACGTTAGGTAATCTTCCCAGGGCCGGATCATCTTCTAGTTCGTGATAGATCCAAAACTAGGATTCAAGTCTATTGACTCCAAGTCCAGTACACTTTCCAGGCTGCCTTTTTTACTTTTACACAAGTTTATGCGACAGAACACATATTCAAAGCAACAATAAATAACCTCGTCTTAGATTTGTGTTAGATACATATGACAGATTCTTGACATCAAAGGTTTTGATAATTACTGAGTGCTTTCAAAGGTCCACAGCATGTCATTTTGCTGAGGTATAAATTTGCACTAGAATGAGACTGATATTTGACAAGTCACTTATTAGTGGGTAAGCTCAGCCTATTACCCATATATGTATAATATAAAACATTTTTATGTTTTCTTGATCTCTATTTTGTCTTAGTGTAGACCCTAGCTCCCATTAAAGTTGTTTCTTTGTAACAGTAGTTCTCAAAGAAAGCCATCTACTAGTTCTAGTGATTGAAAGGGTCGCAGAAAGTAATGGTTCTTAGAACATGGAAGTTTAGGATAAATTTAAGAGTAGAATAGAGAATTGGTCCATGGCTCACAGCAATGATGGGAACAAGTCCATCACGTACTCTACAAGAAACAATATTTGTGAAATCATATTATCTAGAGCTCCAGCCAGAAGCCCCTGGATGGTGCAAATGGTTAAGCACTGGGCTACTAACTGAAAGGCTGGTGGTTCAAACCCACACAGAGGTGCCTGGCAATCTGCTCCCGAAAAGTCATAGCCATGAATACCCTATGGAGCACAAGTTTACTCTGAAACACATGGAGTCGCCATGGGTCAGAACTGACTTGAGGGAAACTGGTAGTGCTCCAGCCAGGGCAAAATTTCATGTTATAGAGAAAATGATATGCTATATACATACACAATTTATGAATTGAGCAATTCCCATAGGTGTCAGAAATGCCAAGATTGTTCTCTACCATTCTTCTCTTACTGATCTTTTATTTGCAAGAAGAAAATAAAACCAGTGCCAACAAAAAACAATTGCTTATTGATTTGATGAATAATTTACAATTAAACAAAGGTTTTAGCCATAATCACAAAGATTGAGAATAAAAAGTGCTCAAGTATTGCCTAGAATTATTTAAGTACTGTGGGTGACATAAAGAATGTAGAAGACTTGGTTAAATTGACTTTTCCCTGTATGTAGTTTTTATAGGTATTTTGGTAATAAAAATTCTCCCTTTGGTTTGTATTATCCAATTTTTCTTAGAATAGAATAAACATATTTTCCCTGTGCAATCTTAATAGTAGTGGAAACCCTATTATGTTTTTTCACCAATCAAAAATTAACTTATAATTTTGATTAATGGTAGCTTCAAAGGCAAATCCAAGTAGAAAGTAGGCAGTAATTAATACTCTCAAAAGAGAAAAATAAAAAGGGATCATGTCTATTTTATTCTTTCATATTTGTTCCTGGGAGGAAGGCAGTAAAAATAAGCAGTTCTAAAAACTAAGTAACTTTCTTTACTTTTTTATTTTTTATAAAACCTTGAATTTTAAAATTTCCCAGAAGCCCTCATAACTATTTAAAATTGTTCTCATGTACAATGCAAAGATGACTGGAAGAAGGGTTGAAAAATGGGTCATTTCTGAGTTTTCCTCTGGATGTTAAATGGCCCCTTCCTGTCTCCCAGTGATAACCAGGAGCCATTTGCTCATTTATTTTTCTCTGTCATTCTCAGGTAAGCCCTTGAACATACCTTGCAAAGCATTCTTTGGATTCAGTGGAGAGTCTGGACCAATGATCTACTGGATGAAAGGGGAGAAGTTTATTGAAGAACTGGCAGGTCACATTAGAGAAGGTGAAATAAGGTACAGGACTTGAATTGCTTATTTTTCTTTGCTGTCTTTGCAGTTAAGGAATGAAATGTCCTAGAAGCACTTCTACTCAAGACTTAACTGCAACTCCAAATCATTCCATTCTCTCAAAGCTGATCTGGTGTAGTGAGTGAGGCTGACTTCCCTAAGAAATGCAAATGTATAGGCTCCCACTATAAGGAGATTTTTCTCATGTTCTAAGAATATTCCATCAAGGGGTAATAACCCTACAAAGTTGCCTAAGCAAACTCCTCTGAGTTTCTAAAGATTAGAACGTTGCTGTCACTTAGTCACAGCAAAAGTACAAAATTTGCAGGTGACTCCTCAGACCACTGGGCAAATGCTCATTTATTCCAAGAACAGACAACCTTCATATGTCATAGGTAAAAAGCTGTGGTGGCAGTAATAAGTGGATATTCATTCAAAATAACTGTTGACTCTTGTTGAATAGTGTTTATTTTTCCCAGTAGCCACGGCTCATCCTGAATGTGACTGATTCTTCACTTTAGCTCCTCCCTAGACATATTTTCACTCTGCTGTATATAGACACCTCTCTGGTATATAGATATCAACTCCACTGGTCTTCTAATCCTATATAGTACCTTTTCATTTGTACAAAGGAGGGATAGGTTATCTTTCCTTCCTCATTTAGCCTGCTGGATTGCTCTGTGAGAAGAAATGTAAACAAGGTAAGAAAATAAACAGTTTTCAAATGTGTTGAAAATCTGTTTGTATAAAACAAACAGTATACCAGAAGGAGAGAAAAGAAAGGAGCAGAAAAAATATTCAAAGAAATAATGCTTGAATCTTCCCAAATTTATTGAAAAAACATTGATCTACATATTCAGGGAGCTCAGCAAGCTCCAAATAGGACAAATGAAAAGAAATCCATAAACAGATATAAAATAGTAAAAATACCAAAAGCCAAAGACAAGGAGAAAATCTTGAAAGCAGCAAAAGAAAAATGGTTCTTCACTTACCAAGGGAACACCAGTCAGATTAACGCTAGCTTCTCATCAGAAACAACAGAGGCCAGAAAGCAGTGAGAAAACATATTCCAAAGTTTCAGAGAAAAAACTGTCAACCACGCTATCTTTCATAAATGAAGGCAAAATAAAGATATTTCCAGATAAACAAATAGTGGGAGAATTTTTTGCTAGCAGACATGACTTACAAGAAATACTAAAGGAAGTTTTTTAGGCTGAAAGCAAGTGACTCCAGATGGTAATTCACATTGCGTCTCTCTCTCTCTCTCTCTCTCTCTCTCTCACACACACACACACACACACACACACTCAGAGCACCAGTAAAGGTAGTTACATCATTATAAAAAAAATATTAACGTGTATTTCTTTTTCTTTCATCTGTTGATTTTAAAAAGCAATTGTATAAAACAAATATGTGTATAATTATATGATTGGGCTATAACAAGTAGAAATGTAACATATTTGCCAATAACAGCACAAAGGTGATGCACAGGAGCAGAGCTGTACCAGGCTAAGGAAATGACTCTAGATGGTAACTCAAAGCCCCAGGAGCAAATGAAAAGATTCAGAAATGATACATAAGGAGGTTAATATAATAAAAGCTATAAATATATACTTGTTCCTCTTCTCTCAGCTACTTTAAAATACATAAAATTACATAAAGTAATAATTATAACAATAGAACATTGGGTTGGTAACTTTTATAGATGTAATACATATAACAATAATACCACAAAAGGGGGAAGATAATAGAGCTATACAGGAATAACATTTCGATATCTCACTAGAATTAAATTAGTGTAAATCTGAAGCTAATTCTGATAAATTAAGATGTATATGGTAAACTCTTGTTTTGGTTATCTAGTGCTGCTATAACAGAAATACCAAAAGTGGGTGGCTTTAACAAACAGAAATTTATTTTCTCACAGATTAGAAGGCTAGAAGTCCAGATTCAGAGTGCCAGCCCTAAGGGAAAGCTTTCTCTCTCTCAGCTCAGGAGGAAGGTCATTGTCTCTTCTGAGGTTCTGCTCCTGGGTGATCTCCATGTGGTTTGGTATGAGTCTCCCCTCATCTCTTCTTTTCTCACTTGCTTGTTTAATCTCTTTTATATCTCAAAAGAGATTAATTTAAGACACAACCTACACAAATCCTGTCTCATTAACATAATAAAGACAACCCATTTGCAAGTGGGATTATAACCACAGGAATAGAGATTATAGAGATTAGCATTTACAACACATATTTTAGGGGGACACAATTAAATCCATAACATTCCACCCTTTGGCCCTCCAAAATTCATGTCCTTGCCACATGCAAAGCACATTCACCCCATCACATCATCCCAAAAGTTGTAAATCAATTCCAGTCTAAAATCACATCATCTGAATCATCTAAATCAAATATGAGTGAGACTTTAGGCGTATTCCATCTCAGGACAAAATTCCTCTTCATCCAAGAACTTGTGAAATCTAGAATACAAGTTATCCGCCTTCAAAGTACAATGGTGGAACAGGCACAAGGTGGACATTTCTATTACAAATGGGAGAAATTGGAGGGGAAGAAGGAATGACAGGTACAAAGCAAGTCCAAAAACCAGCAGAACAAATTACATTAGTTCTCAAGGCTTGAAAATAATCCTCTCTTCTCTGAGACCATCTGGGTAATGCCCCCACCCTCTAGACTTTGGATGTTGCCATGGCCCCTGGATTCTGGATGGAGGCCGCTCGGCCCTGAGCTTTAGCTCTGCCGTCCAGGCCCTCTGGGATGGCAGCTCTGCTGCCTTGGCATTAGGCAGCCCCAATCTTCTAGTCCATCTGAGTGGTGACCCCACTGCCTCAGCCCCAGCAGGCCCTGTTCTGCCCCTTGGGCATGGCAGCCCTGCCACCTCAGCTTTGGGTGGTGGCCCCATCCCCCTGGCACACCTTAATGGCAGCCATACACTTTGAAACTGAGTTGGCAAAGATCCGATTCTTTGAAACCTAGGTGGCTGTGGCCCTACCCTTTGAGTTCCAGGAGACCGTGGCCCCACCCTTTGAAACCTAGAAGGCCCTGCTTCCCATGCTCCTTCCAACAGAACTGATGATCTCCAAGCTGCTCCAGGAATGGTCCTTTACTTTTCTTGGAGGACAACAGACATAGCTCCTTTGGCCTGTTTCCTGCCTGTAGAATTCCAAGAGGCAGACAGTAATCTTTCCTTTCGTTCTTTCTCTGTCCCCTTCAGTCTAAGCTGATGGGTTTTCTGCTGTAGTAGTTGGTTAGATCCATCAGTCACAGGCTTAACCTCTTTAACAAAAGATTGTGTAGCCACGTCCTTGGTAAACATTCTAGGACATGTGTTCTTAGTTTGTACAACAGAATTTTCCAAATCTTTAAATTTTGTTTTCATTTTGCACAGTTCAATGTTTAAGTCAATCCTTTTCCTGTTACATTTTATGATAAGCAGCAAGGAGAAACCACACAACCCCTTTAAGATCTTGCTTAGAAATCTCATCAGCCAGATATCCTAGTCCATCACTTACAGGTTCTACCTTCCACCAAATATTTGAATATAATTCAGACAACGTCTTTGCCACTGCATAAAAAGCACTGCGATTCATCCACTATCCAATCACAAGTTCATCATTTTCTTTTGAAGCCTCACCAGCAGCACATTTAACATCCACATTCCTAGCAACATTCTATTGGTGGCCTCATATGTATTCTCTAAGATGATACAGACTTTCCCTATAGCTCTCCTCACTTCCTTCTGAGCCCTTACCAGAATTGCTTTTGACACCCATAACTCCACCAACAGTCTCTTAAAGGCAATCTAGACTTTGACTATTACGCACCTTAAAACTCTTCCAGCCTCCCCCCATTACCCAATTGCAAAACCACATCCATATTTTAGATACCTGTTAAAGCAGCACCCACTCCCAGTACCAAATTCTGTCTTAGTTATCTAGTGCTGCCATAACAGAAATACCACAAGTGGGTGCCTTTAACAAACGGAAATTTATTTTCTCACAGTTTAGGAGGCTAAAAGTCTGAAATCAGGGTTCTGGCTCTAGGGGAAGGCTTTTTCTGTCAGTTCTGGAGAATGTCCTTGTCTCTTTGAACTTCTGCTCCTTGGTGATCTTCATGTGGCTTAGCATCTCTCTTCGCCCATCTCTGCTTCTTTTGTTTGCTTGTTTAATCTCTTTCATATCTCAAAAGAGATTGACTTAAGATATACCCTACACTAATCCTGTCTCTTTAACATAATAAAGACAACCCATTCCAAAACGGTATTGTAACAACAAGCATAGAGGTTACGATTTACAACACCTATTTTAGGGGGACACAATTCAATCTATTACAGTATCCTATCTCTTTAAGTATAGTGATGACAGATTAATCACAGATTCAGAGCTCAAAGAATGTCATGAGTCCAGCAATTCTACCTTCCACTTTTAAGCAGGTGCACACTTTATCTCCCCCCTCCCCCATCACACATACTTTGCATCAGAAAGGAAGATGTTTGGCATGAAAGGGGAAGACTATGAATAGAGGTAGAGAAGAAAAGCATGGCAGTGATCACAATGCCAGGCATTTGGAGACTGCCTTGCCCTATTGGGCTTAAGTGTACTTCACATATCATCTATGGAAGAGGAAAAGGGAAGAGAATGTGTAGGAATTAGGAAGGGAAGACAGTTATCTTTAAACCACTTCAGAACAAGAAGTTTACTCCGTTAAGAGATAAGCAGGTTTCTCTGCATATAATGGATCATTTTGGAGAGTGCAAATGTCAGATGTTGTCACCACAGCATTATTAAAAAAAAACTTAATACTTAATTTCTTCTAGCCATAATCCAATCTTTAATGTAGCTATTCCCTCACCATGTTGAAAATTCCATCCTGTTTCTTTGATTGATTTTACCAAATCACTCACAAGTAAAAATGCAGAAGGGCTTCTAGAATCTTAGAATTATAATCTTTAATGATGTAAGGTGCTTTAGAAATCATCTGGTTCAACTCCCTCTCTCACAG